TGTACACTCTACATTCATATGAGTATTCATATAATGCTTATCTTAACCTATATGAGGTAAAAAAACAATTGCTGTGAAACCATAGAAATATTTTTTTTTTAACAAAAACAGTAAAACGTGAAGCTGTTGAGTCTCCATCGAAGTCTGTAACCTTCTGAAGGTGGGCATTATGTCTTTCAAACTTTCTTTGAAGAATTCTGTGCTCTTCAATTGACACCACATCACAGTGGCAGTTTGGGCATCTTTAAGGGGCTTATGCTATATTCCTTTTAAATACTCTTTGTGTTTGGGGAACAGAAAGAAGTCTGCCGGAGCTAGATCCTGAATGTAAGTTGGGATGGATGAAGTTTCACCCCCCAAAATGTATAAGGCATCCCTTGCTTCCCTTGAGTTGCGTTGACATGATCGAGGGGTGGGGTGTGTGTGGAGGGGGAATTCCTTGACTCAGATTTCCTGGCTTTCTTCTCACCGAAACAATTTAAAATTTTCTTAGACCTTCTTCATAATAAGTCCCAATGATCATCGTCCGTATTTCAAGAAAATTTATCAGGATTACCCCTTCAGCACCCAAGTAACAATTGTCGTAACCTTCAAAGCTGTACTCTTTGCATTAAATTTAAGTGGCTCAGCACATTCTCTCAGAAGCCAATCTTTTGATCAGAACTGTTTTATTTTGATGACACTCTAATAAAATCACAATTGAATTACTGATAGAACTTGTCTGAAAGCATTCACTTATTGCAAAGACATGTTTAAGCACATCTTGTTTGGCATCAATCTGTGCTTGTATGAATTTGAACCCTCGAAGCCATACTTCCTTACTTTTCCTCATATATGAGGGGGTAACTAAAAAAACCCAGGATTTTTTTCAAAGCTATGTATTTAATTTATTTTGTAAACAACCTCATAACTTTCAAAGTATTTGTCAAAACTGTGATTCCGTTCTTGGAAACATTTTTCAAATTTATCTGTTTGGATGGCTGACATCACCTCCCTTGCTTTTTCTTCACCTCTTCTACATCATCAAATTGTCACTCTTCCATGTCCTACATCATTCATGGAAACAAAACGAAGCCACTCAGAGCGAGCTCAGGTGAGTAAGGTGTGTGGGGCAAGAGAGGCATGCTGCTTTCTGCCCAAAACTGGCGCACTGAGATGACTGTGTGAACTGATGTATTGTTGTGGTGGCAAAACCAGTTCCCCGTGTGCTACAAATCAGGCCTTTCTTGTCACACACTATTATGCAATCTTTTCAGAACCTCTGAATAGAAAGCTTGATTAACAGTCTGACCTGGTATAATAAACTCCAAATGTACTATCCCCTTCACATCAGAAACAAACAAACAAAACAAATGAGCATCTTTAGGGGGGGTATTCTCTCTTATTAATTCTCATAAAACATTTTTAATGGTTGTTGGTTTCTACCTGGTTGATCCCTGGTTCATGGACACTTCATAACAGAAGAAAATGCTTCCCAGTTTTGCATTATTCCCACGATTTGTTGGTGATGGACCCTTGTGGTCCATAGGGTTTTCATTGATGTAATTTTTGATAGATCATAAAGTTTTTCTTCCTAATCCATTTTAGTCTGGAAGATTTGCTTAGATCTTTTGAGAATCATAATAACATCCAACTCGTCACTGACATAAAGGTTGTAGCTGCACCTGGGGTCTATTGAGTGAAATTTGAACCCAAATCCAGCATAGAAAGTGAGAATTACATTACGTTTGTATAGTAGTAATCTGGGTTTGTTAGAACATTTGTATAGAGATGAGTTAAGTTTTC